ACCCCCTTCCCCTCCCCCTTTTCTGATGAATGGTCTAGGCCCGAAACATCAGCCTCTCTGCTCCTATGATGCTGCTTGGCCCGCTGTGTTCATCCAGCCCTGCACCTTGTTGTCTCAAATTAGTGAACCAAATAGGTTTTTACAACAACCGATCATAGTTTCATGGTAATCCTTACTGAAGTGAGGTTTTAGGTCTATATTTATTAAACTAATTTAATTTAAATTCCATTTGCTGTCATGGGATTTAAACCCAAGTCCCCAGCCTTTACTACTATTCATTTGTCTCCCCTGTTGGTTGAATACCCATTGAGAAGGTTTTTAAAGTTTTAACGTAGATTTGATATTGAAGAACTGTAATTGCTCGAATTTATTTTAATTACAGAGCTAGTTGAAAAACTGATTGAAGAGTGAGGTTGCTAGTAATTGGGAAAAGGCTGAACACTTTTATTTTGAAATAAATATCAGCACTTTATGTATTTCTTGTTAGTGTCATCCAATAGAAATTGCAGATTAGGTACAAGTGTGGGCTATAGCAATGCTATTTTAGTGGAATATGTCTCACCAACATTGAGTAATCAGGGAAACAAAACTTGCACTTGCACACACGATATATCATCATAGTATTTTACCAACAAATGTATAAAAAAGTTAAAGTTCACACACAGTATTTCATGATATACTTGGAGAATGTGTTGTAATAATCTGACCAGTGCAAATATGTATTAATGATTACATTTATGATTAGTTTATAAACTAGAGTCATGTCTGGATTTCTGACTCACCACATCTGGTTTGTGGTTAGCGCATCAAACAACATTGTCCTTTTCCCTTGTCCACACTGACTTGTCAGCACCAGTGGTGTTAAACATTTGAGAGTGAGTTCCATAGTGTTGCATTGAAATATCAACAACTGCATCACAGTTGCTTGCTGTTTGCTCTGTTGGGGAAAATTCAGCAAACTTTGCGAGGTGATGTACCGACATTGAAGCTTATGCTTAAACTTTCTTTCCCCACAAGGGAGAAGACAGATTCCTATTTCTGTGTTCTGTTTAATGATGAGCAGCACTTGCTTGAGCATGTCATTTATTCACTCCAGAGGTCACTAGGCTGCTCACAAAGAGAAGCACAGAATCACACCACCTTGATAGATAAAGAGGTAAGTGCCATTAGTGTTTGTGGATTTTTTTTATGCAACAAAAGGAACTTGCATTTACATAGCATCTTTAAGGCAGTAAATATTTTGAGGCACTTCACAGGAAAGTAATCAGAGAAGCAAAGATACCACTCAGCCAAAAAGGGTGCCATTGGGATGGGTGATTGAGTGCTTGGCCAAAAAGCGGCTTTTAAAGAAAATGGGGAAAGTTGCAGAGCTCTGGGCTCTAAAGTGAGATGGCTCAGTTGCCAAGAGTGGTGTGAAGGAAGTCAGGGATGAAACTAAAGGTCGAGGTTGGTGAAATGCATTATTCTAGGAGAATAATAGCATTGTAGGAGGCACAGAGATAGGCAGGGTGGGAAACCATAATGATCTAAAGATGTGGATAAAAGTTTGAAAAAAAGAATGTTAATAGTTAACCAAAGCTGCAGTTATATTGCCACTTGTATTTTGGTAATCTGAAAGTGACCATGCCTGTGGATGCTCTGATCTCAAGAGAACCCTTGTATAGATCCATTTTATGCCATCTGGGTTTGATATCATGTAGATTTTTTTTGAGCTAGGCTTTAGGGTGTCCAAGGAATCCCTTGCACTCTTGATTAACTTGTGGAGCTTTTGAAATGCTTTGGGCAAGTGGCACTCCCAACTCTTATACTCAGAACATTGAAAATGTACCAGATGAGAGTGGAGTTCTGCATGTAAATAAACAGTCCCTTTTATAAGATCAAATGTACTATTTAACTAACAGCTTAAGTTCTGTTATTTGAGTTGGATTTGATGATCAAACAAAAAGTATAAATTAATTTTTAATTTTTTTTAAGTTGTAAAAACAGAACTAACCTTTAAATCGGATACCAATATCTAGGTTTTTTAAGTATTTTTTGAACTTTTCAGTGTTACTGTCTGAACTGTTGTGTAGACAGTTATTTTTACAGATGACTGTACCTTTCTATTGATTGTGTTAGATCGCTCAAAAAAAATCTACATTATCTACAGTTGTTAATGCAGTCAGCAAAATCGTAGTTAACTGCATTCAATGCTAAACTCTCTGATCTTTACATTATTTAATGTAAACTTGCTTATTTTGTTTTAAGAGCTATGATTTGAACTTCACTGCAGATCCTTCAAATTTTGTTTTGTGTTATGTGTCTCTAGGGTCGTAGAGCAGTAAAACATGGAACACTGCAGTCATGTGAAGAGACAAAGTTACAAGTTTTTGTAAGTAACATAAAATGCTTGCTGCGTTCATTTAACAATTGCAGTTGAAGATGACAGTAGTGGCACAGGAAATTATGCAGTGGGTTCTTTAATTATTCCAAGCATTAGCATCATTTCTAGGTGGTGAGCTTTTATTATGTGAAGAATGTACATAAGTAATTAATCTGGTTCAGATCACTCATAAAATGTACCACAAATTTTATCTCCAGTTTTCTGGAGATTTTGAGTGATACCTGGGTAATGTAGTAGATAAAGGTGCTTTTCTTTAAAACCTTAAAGTGCTGCATACCCCATAGGTTATCTAGCGCACTTTTTTCTCACAATTTCTATCCACATCTCATAGTGATCCGTGCTTTTCCTCCATGCTGATCCCTAATGTTACTGGCTATTCAGAAAGGAAGAGAACATTTCATTTGTCAGATTACTTTACTTAAGTTATACATGCTGCTTTAAATGTTAGGGATGCATTTTCAGTGAAAAACTAGTGAAAGCTTTTTACTTATTTTCAACAATGTTCCAATGCTTTGTAGTCACGTTGCTGCGTTTTAGATAAAGGTGCATTTTATTTTTAGTATCTGCTGGTTGACAGCTGGAGTAAGTATATCGAGAAATACTACATAAGATGTACAGCACAAAAACAGGCCACACAGCCCACATAATCTGTACTGGTCTTTGCAACAGGTGCCCCTTCAGTTTGCTCTGAACATGACATTCTATTGTTATTGCTTTTGATGTTTTTTCAGCTTCTCCTTAAATGCATCCCTGCTATTTACCTGAGTTGCAGCTAGTTGTAGCAGGCTTTACATTCACACTAATAATTGCATTTATTAGAGACTATCTCCTTTATGGGCCCTGGTTTTACTTTGCTTTGCAGTGCATGTGCATAGAAACATAGAACCAGAGGTTAGGCCTTTCAGTGCTTTGAGCCTGTTCTGCCATTCTAAATGATGGCTGACCATCTACCTCAGCCTTATTCAACAGGATGCCCACTGAGGGGCTCTCAGATGGCCTGCTGTTGCAGTTCTAAATACAGAAAGTACAGCTGCAATGTTATGCACAGAGAAGCACCTCCAATCAGAGGAAGGGTCACTGGACGCAAAATGTTAACTCTGATTTTTCTCCACAGATGCTGCCAGGACCTGCTGAACCTTTCCAGCAATTTGTGTTTTTGCCTCCAATCAGAGGCTGTTTTATTCCCTCGTTTGCTGAAAGTCTCGCTTACAGAGGCTCTCTCTTTCCTATTCCTCTGAGAAAGTCGGGGAGGGAACAAGAGAGAGAATGAAAGAGATAGGAAAGAGGAGAAAGTGTGTGTGTGCGTGTGTGTGTGTGTGTGGCGGGGGTGGAATATGTGAGGGCTTGTAGGAGGGCGGGGGCGTGGGTGAGGGAAATGTGGTGCATGTGCAAGTGGGAATGATGAAAGCTAGAGAGGGGATCTGCGAGAATTGCAGGCAAATAGAGCTTCAAGACGGAGCATGCAGATGAGAGGAAAGGTTAGATAGAGAGTTCAAGTGTACTTATTAAGAAGGGAGAGGGATGATGAGAGAGAGAGATAACATACGACGGGAAGGAAGGAGGAAGCGAGCAAGCTGAGTGCTACAATACAGCATGTAAGTGTGAGGATGTACCTTGGAGAGATTGCGCAAGTGAGTTAGGGGGCATGTACGCAAGAGGGAGGCCAAGAGCCAAAACAGATACTGAAAAGAGATGGTGGTGTGTGTGAGAGCGAGAGAGACCCTGCACCCTGAATGTGGTCCTGACACATGCCCACCCTTTCCCTCCTTTCTTTCTTCCTAAAACCTATTCACACAGGTTGGGATTGGAGGAAGGTTGCTGGCTGAATGTTGCAGTTCTAAATACAGAAAGTACATCTGCAATGTTATGCACAGAGAAGCACCTCCAATCAGAGGAAGGGCCATTGGACCCGAAATGTTAACTCTGACCTCCTCTGAGGTCAACTCAGTGTGCAACAGCAAGGTTACGAGTGCCTTAAACTCAAGTCTTTGATTCATCCCTGATCCCCACCACTTCCCTGCTGATTGGCAGTTGAGGCTGGGTCTGTCTCTCCAGCTCTGCTTAATAATCGAAAGGGCAGAGAAAGATTTTGTTAGTGAGCTGGTTAGCCTAAAATTAAAAGGGGTAGACTATTTAAGATTGAGGTGAAGGGTCTTTAGAAGCCTCTGCTCCAGAGGGCTGTGGAATCTCAAACATTGAGCAGGTTCCAGATAGAAATCAGCAGATCCTTTGAGACCATTGCCATTTAGGAATATGAGGATTTTGTAGATAAATGACGCTGTGTCGATGATCAGCCATGATTTAATTTCAATGGCCGAGCCAGCTGAGCAGGCTGAATAGCCTACTTCTGTAACCATGAATGAACTGTAAACAATGAATGAATGTATTGAGACAAAAAGATGAAGTACTGGATATATTCAATATCTGTGAAGAAAGAAGCTGAATTACAATTACAATTTTGTAAGAATGATAGGTGTCTCACTCAGCAATCACTACTCTACCATCATCACACATACAAATAATGGATTGTGTAAATTGACATTTAGCTAAATCAAAGATAATGTTGTTGTCATGTGCATTTTTAATTTTTCTTTCAGAATATTACAAACAGTGTATTCCAGTCACCCCTACATGCTGAAATTCTTCACTCAAGTGTTGTATCCCATCAGACCTTTGCTTTACGTCTTCTCTCCTGGCTCAACCAAGTTGTCAGTAACTCAGGCAAGTGCAAGCCTTGTTTTAATGAAACAGATATTTTAATTATACAAACTGTGGAATGGAATAAATATTAACCACTTGCAAGATATTAGCCTGACTTAACTATTGATGTTGTTTCCCCAGTCATGTGCAAACTTCACATATGCTCTTTGCATCCTACTGGTGATTACTAAATGTGCAAAAACTGGGTAATATTTTGGTGCCTTGATATGCCCTGCCATTAATTGCCAAGACTCAGCAGATTCTTCTATGTTCAACTATATCAATGCCTTGGTCTTATATTGTACTGTGCTTAAAGCCCAGTTTTGCTTTCCCGATGATGCCATTGGACTGCTTGTGGATGCTTAATAATTTAAGTATGACCTTTAACTCTTGACCAGCTCAATAGTCTTTACAGCTTGTACCCTATTTATTTGTTGAAAATTCCCAAATCCTAAATATTTCTGCATGGTTTTCTAACATGTAAATAGTGTTAGTTAATATCCTTCCTTATGTCTTTTTTATGAAGACCATCAATGATTTCAGTGCTGAACCCTGAAAGACTCTGATCATTCCTTTAAATGATTGTACATATCCTGGCAAAAGTCCTTTCAACCTGTGAACTTGGAACCAGTTAATTATTGAACCACTAGTTTGAATTTATCTTTGGATAGCTGTTCTGTGGTATTTTAATTAGGAATATAACACAAACTGAAGTTTGGTCTCTTCCACAAATAGCTCAATTCTGTTGTGAGGCAGGAACTCTGTTTTCAAAAACTGCTTTCTAACAACTGCTAAATTCATAGATCACATTCTTTATAATATCTTCCATTTTGTTCAATGGCTGACTTCCAATTAAAAGATCTAATTCCAGGGTCTGATGCCTTCAGTTTCTTAAATTTTGGGATGATGTGAGTGTTCCTTTATTCATTGGAATAGAGTTTTATGAGCCATAGTTCACACAAAACATTGCCAATTTGCTTCACTACAGGATTATCCTCATCAGGTTCAAGTCGCAAGTGTCTTAATCCTCAATTATGATCTATCTTTGCTGATAGAGGTAAATTTGAGTTTGGGTAGATGCAAATTGTTTTTCTTTTGTTCAAACAGCTGGATTACGTCAGATTTTCTGTGAGGTGGTACTTAACCAAGAACCAGACTCTAATCAACCTTGCCTGATCAGCAAATTAATGTTGGCTGATGCCAAACTTTGGAAAGGTGAGTAAATTAATACTGTTGCTGTTACCAATCATGTCAGCAACTAGTTGAGTTCCAATTGATTGGCTAACCAAGTCCCAGGACTGTGTCTCTTGAGGGTCTCCTACTTTTCTCAGAATTTTCAGTTTGTCATTCGAACATTTCTTGTTTGTCTGACACACGAGTCAGAAAATGGCTAGCATCTTAGTAATAGAGGTTAGTTTGTAATAATGGGTCCCAGTCTTTCTCTGTTTAACTGAATATCTCTGCGATATCCCCACGATCAAACCGTAATTTGAAAGCCCTATGCTATTGTTGACTGCGAGGTGCTTCCTGCTGCATAATCGTCCATTAATCCAAAACTTGCAGATGGATACCTAACAATGGTACTTGAAAGCTGTACTTTTAAATTTAATTTCTGGCCATTGGCCACTTCATTTGGAGAGAGAATTCATTACGGTCCTGTTTACACAATATTATTGTTTCCATGGTAATCTAAAAGTAATTGCCACATCACTGATCATTAAATGTTTAATATTAAGAACTCCTGAAATAACTTGAGATTCAGTAGTAATTTCCATAAGAGAATTGGGCATCTATTTGAAAATGAAAATTTTGCAGTGTTCTAGGAAAAGGGATCAGTGGGATTAATTTGATTTCTCTTTCAAAGAGCTGGCGCAAACATAACGGGGCAAGTAGCCTTCAGTGCTTAAGACTCCTTGATTCTAAAATTCACGTTTGCATTGCAAGTGAAATCCCTCCCAAGGCTTGGTTGCCATTCCTTGTGGAAGTTTTATAAATGGTATTCTTTACATTGCTACCAAGCCCCACTTCTGAAACTGATCTTAGTAACGGTGACCAAAAGTTTGGCTACAGGGGTAGATGTTATGGAGTGATGCAGCAAAGTGGAAAGATATAAGGAGGGAATTACAAACTTGAGGTGTAGCCAGGAGGGACAAATGGCAAGAGTTGAGGTAAAGGAAGGGAGCTTGCAGAAGATGACCAAGCGCCTGGAAGTTAAATTGCTTTTTAAAATCTGTTTGCTTGCTTTTTAAAAGCATAGTCTAGATTTAAATGAATGGTCTTCAAATTGTCTTATGAATTCTGCTGAGTAGAGGCTACAAAATGTGCTTTCGGTTTTATTCGTGAATGGTGAAAATGGAATATATAGCCTTAATGCGGCTATGTTCCGAATCCAAAGTGTGAATTCAGGCCATTTCTTGGTATTCTAACGCATCACTCATTTACCACATGCGTTTACATTTATATTGACCATTTTGCTTATGATTGCAGATAGCTACAAGGTGTTTGTCATGATGCTACTACAGTGTAGATTTAACCAAGGAACAGGCAGAATAAATATGCATTCATTTTTTCAATGCAGGAGCACGCAAAGTCTTCCATGAACTAATAGTATGCAGTTTGCTGATGGAAACAGAATGCAAGAGACTCTTTGCTATTGAATTTGTCACTGTGAGTACTTGTTTTATTCTGGTTAAAGCCCAGCAGTGACTGAGATTCAGAAGCACCCCTTCACTCCCAAAAACCCTGAATTGGCAGTTTTCTTGTAGGGTGTAAGTTTGAGAAGTTAAATTTGAAAAGTTAAATGGTGACAAGTAAAATATAAAATTTGGTTACTGAGAAAGCAACAGTAAAAGTAAAAGCAAAAGTATGCTGTTTAAGCACATTAATTATGGGAGTAATCCTTAGTGCAAGGCATCAATTTTGAAACTACTAACTCCAAAATTATGCACAAGTCCAATAGACTAGACTTTTAAAAAGCTCTTTCCACTTTTGAGGGAGTGCAGAGCTTGGGGATGTAAATGTAAGATAGCCATTGATAAATCCAACAAACAATCTAGGGAAAAGTTCTTTGTTTGGCTGTGGAACATGCTGCCACTGAGTAGATGAAACAAATTGACTATCCCTTTAAATGCATCTATCAGCATGTGAGACAGAAGGGACATGACAGCACTTGTCATCAAGGCCACGTGACTGACTGACTCATGAAGGAACCCTAGCAAAACTGGAATTACTGGCAATTGGGAGGCAAAATCTGCTGCTTGGAGTCATACCTGGTACGTGGGAAGATGGTTGCGATTGTTGGAGGTCAGTCAGCCCAGCTTCAGGACATCTCTGCTGGAGTTCCTTAGGGTAGTGACATACGCCCAACCATCTTCAGCTGCTTCATCGCTGACTTTCCCTGTTTCATAAGGACAGGAATGAGGATGTTTGCCAGTGATTGTACAATATATACCATTTGCAACTCCTTGAAAAGTGAGGCATTCCCTGTCCAAAAGCGCAGTATCCAGGATTGAGCTGAAAAGTGGCAAGTAACATTAAAAGTGCACAAATGCCAAGCAATGACCTTCTCCAATAAGACGTAATCAAACTGCTGGCTCCTGACTTTCAATGGTGTTATCATCACTGAATCCCCCACTGTCCACCTCCGAGATGTTAACATTGACCAGAAACTCAACTGGATTTACCATATAAATATTGCGCCATGAGCAGAGGCTAGGAATCCTGCAGAGACTAACTCACCTACTGACTCCTCAAGCTTGCCCCCTATCTACCAGGCACAAGTTAGGAATGTGATGGAATACTCTTCACTTGCCTGAATGTCTACAGCTCCAACAACACTTAAATGAGATAGTGAGTGGAATCTGGCATGAAGCACATACAGCTGATCTGATAGATTCTGATTTGATTTAGTTTGATCTATTATTGTCACATGTCCCAAAATAAAGTGAAAAGTATTGTTTTGCATACTAATCAGGCAAACCATTTCTTCATAAGTACCACAGGGCAATAGAACAGACTACAGAATGGAGTGTTACAGTTACAGAGAAGGTGCAGAGAAAGATCAACTCTAATATAGATGGGTCCATTTAGAAGTTTTATAATAGGGAAGAAGCTGTTCTTGAACATAGAATCATAAAAGATCATAGAATCCCTACAGTGTGGAAACAGGCCCTTCGGCCCAAAAAGTCCACACTAACCCTCTGAGCATCCCACCCAGACCCATCCCACTATAGCCCACCTAATCTACACATCCCTGAACACTATGGGCAATTTAGCACGAGCAATCCACTTAGCCTGCACATCTTTGGACTGTGGGAGGAAATCTGAGCACCCGGAGGAAACCCACGCAGACACGGGGAGAATGTGCAAACTCCACACAGACAGTTGCCCTAGGGTGGAATCGAACCTGTGTCCCTGGCACTGAAAGACAGCGGTGCTAACTACTGAGCCACCGTGCCGCCTCCAAATGTTGGTAACTTTAGTATCTTCTGCCTGATGGAAGAGGGTGGAGGAGAGTATAATTGGGATGGAAAGGGTCTTTGATAATGGCTGCTTTCCCAAGGCAGCAGAAGTATAGACTGTGTCAGTGGAAGGAAGGCTGGTTTTAGTGATGGACTGGTGTGCATTTACAGCTCTCTTTAATTTCTTGTCTTGGGCACAGCCGTTACCATGTGATGCATCGGATAGGATGCTTTCCATGGTGTATCTATTAAAATTAATGAGTCATTGTGGACATTGTGAAATTCCTTAGCCTTCTGAGGAAGTTGAGGCTTGGGTATGCTTTCTTGATTGTAGCTTCAATGTGGATGGACCAGGATATATTGATATTTACTTCTAGTAACTTGAAGCTCTCAACCACCTCAGCACCACTGATACAGGCAGGGGCATGTCCTCCATTTCATTTGCTGGAGGCAGTGACCAACTCCTTTGTCTCGCTGAATTTGAGAGAGAGATTGTTGTCTTTATACCATGCCACTAAACTCTCTCTCTTTCCTGTACTCTAGCTTATCACTGTTTGAGATCGGAATGACTATGGTGGTATCACCAGCAAATTTGCAAATGGAGTTAGTGCTAAATTTGATCACACAGTCACGAATGTGTAAGGCGTATAGTAAGGCTGAGTAGGCAGCCTTGCGGACACCTGTGTTGAGGATTATTGTGGAGGAGGTGTTGTTGGCTATCCTTACTGACTGTGGTCTGCGGGTCAGGAAGTCGAGGATCCATTTGCAGAGGGGTAAGCAGAGGCCTAGGTCTTAGAGTTTGGGGATAAGTTTTGTTGGAATTATGGTGTTCAAGGTGGAGCTAAAGTCAGTAATTGTCACCGTAAATCAACATTCTCTTAAGATGAGATAACAAAGTGTGGAGCTGGAGGAACACCGGCTAGGCAGCATGAGAGGAGCAGGAAAGTTGACGTTTCGCGTTGGGACCCTTCTTCAGAAATGGGGGATGGGGAAAGGAGCTCAGAAATAAATAGAGGAAGGAGGGATGGGGCTGGGTAAGGTAGGTGGGATGGTGATATGTGAGTGCAGGTAGGGAGTGGTGGGGATTGGTGAGGTGGGAGAGAAGATTAACAGGTTGTGTCAGGTCAAGGAGGCAGGGATGAGAGGGAGGGTTGGTCATGGGATGGGGTGGTGGGGTGTGATTTTGAAACTGGTAAAATTCACATTTAGGCTGTTGGGCTGTAGGCTCCCAAAGCGGAACATGAGGTGCTATTCCTCCAGTTTGCGGGTAGTGTCATGGTGACATTGGAGGATGCCGAGGATGGGCATGTGACCCAGGGAGTGGGAGGGCGAGTTGAAATGGTTCGTGACCAGAAGGTGTCATTTGCTGCGAACAGAGTGCAGGTGCTCTACAAATCGGTCTCCGAGCCTCCGCTTGACCGATGTAGAGGAGGCCGCACCACGAGCAGCAAATGCAATAGACCACATTAGTGGATGTGCAGGTGAACCTCTGGCTGATGTGAAAAGTTTGTTTTGTGCCTTGGGTGGAGGTGAGGGGTGAGCTGTAGGGCCAGGTGCAGGGAAAGGCACTGGGAGTGGTGGGGTTAGTGGGGAGTGTGGAGTGGACGAGGGAGTCATGGAGAGAGTGGTCCCTACGGAAGCAGATAGGGGTAGGGAGGGAAATATATCTTTGGTTGTGGCGTCAGATTGTAGGTGGTGGAAATAGCGGAGAATGATATGTTGGATACAGAGGTTAGTGCGGTGATATGTGGGGACAGGGAGGATCCTGTCTTTGTTTTTGTTGTGGGGAGGGGATGTGAGGGCAGAGGTGCAGTAAATGCAAGAGATGCGGTCGAGAGCATTTTTGACCACTGAAGGGGGGGAGGTTGTGGCCCTTGAAATAAGAGGACATCTAGGATGTTTGGGAGCAGACGCAGTGGAGGAATTGGGACTAGGGGATTGCCTTCTTGCAGGAAGGTGGGTGAGAGGAGGTGTAGTCTAGGTAGCTGCGGGAAATAGATGTCGGTTTTGAGGCGGTGACCAGAGATGGAGACAGAGGGGTCCTGGAAGGAGAGACAGGCATCAGAGATGGTCCAGGTGAAGTTGAGGTTGGGGTGAAAGGTGTTAGTAAAGTTGATGAACTGTTCAAGCTCCTTGTGGGAGCACAAGGCAGCGCCGATACGATCATCAACGTAGCGGAGGAAGAGGTGGGAGATAGTGCCAGTGTAACAGTGAAAGAGGGACTGTTCCACGTATCCTCTTAAAATGAACTGTAATAAGGGGAGCACAAGGCAACCATGGCTGACAAGGGAAGTCAGGGACAGCATAAAAGCAAAAGCGTACAATGTGGTGAAGATTAGTAGGAAGCCAGAAAATTAGGAAGTGTTTAAAAACCAGTAGAATACAATTCAAAAAAAAGGGGAGAATATGAAATATGAGGGTGAGCTAGCTAGTAATATAAAAGAAGAGTGCAAGAGATGTTTTAAATTTATAAGAAGAAAGAGAGAGGCAAGAGTGAATATTAGACGACTGGAAAATGAGCCTGGAGAACTAGTAATGGGGAACAAAGAAATGGTGCAGGATTTGAATAAATATTTTGTATCAGTCTTCACAGTGGAAGACACCAGTAGCATTCCAAAACTTTGAGAATCGGGGGCAGGGGTGAGTTTAGAGGCCATCACAAAGGAGGACATGCTGGGGATGCTGAAAGGTCTGAAGGCTGATAAATCACCGACTGGATGGACTACACCCCACAATTCTGAAGAAGATAGCTAAAGAGATTGTGGCACATTCTCGATCTTCCAGGAATCATGGTGTCGGGGAGGGTTCCAGAGGACTGCAAAATGGCTAATTTAACACCCCTGTTTAGGAAGGGAGGGATGTAGAAGACAAAAGATTATAGGCCAGTTAGCCTGACTTCTGTCATAGGTAAGATGTTAAGAATTCATTATGAAGGATGAGATCGCAGTGTACTGTAAAAGTTCATGGTAAAATAGGGCTGAGTCAGCACGGCTTCGTCAAGGAAAGGTCATGTCTGACAAATCTGTTCGAATTCTGAGGAGGTAATGAGCAAGTTAGGCAAAGGAGAGCCAGTGGATGTAATCTATCTGGATTTCAGGATGGCAGCTGGAAACTGCTCGTGTTAGACCGGTATCAGTGTTGGCATCCCAATTTTTCATGTTATACGTAAAGGTTTGGACAAAGGAACTGAGGGTATTGTTGCTAAATTTACAGGTAACACAAAAGTAGGTTGAGTAGCAGGTAGTTGAGGAAGCAGGGAGGCTGCCCAAGGACTTGGACAGGCTAAGAGAGTGGGCAAAGAAGTGGTAGATGGTATACCATGTGGGAAAGTGTGAAGTTGTGCATTTGTAGGAAAAAAGAGGTGTAGACTTTTTTTAACTGGGGAAAGACTTTGGGAATCTGAAGCACTAAGGACTTGGGAGTCCCAGTTCAGGATTCAAAGGTTATTCCAGGTTCAGTTGGCAGTTAGGAAGACCAATGCAATGTTAGCATTTTGAGAGGACTGGAATACAAGAGCAGGAATGTACTGCTGAGGCTATATAAGGCTGTGGTGAGACCACATTTGGAATATTGTGAGCAGTCTTGGACCCTCTATCTAAGGAAGGATGTGTTAGCATTGGAGGGGGTCCAGAGGACGTTCACAAGAATGATCCTTGGAATGAAGGACTTGTTCCATGAGGAGCAGTTGATGACGCTGAATCTGTCCTTGATGGAGTTTAGAAGGAATGGAAGGGGGATCTCATTAACAATTACGGATAATGAGGAACTTGGACAGAGTGGATGTGGAAATGAAGAACTCACTAGTAGGAGAGACTGGGACATGAGAATGCAATCTCAGAGTGAAGGGACGGCCCTGTAGAATTGAGATGAGGAATTTCTTCAGCCAGTGGGTGGTGAATCTGTGGAACACATTGCCACAGAAGGCTGTGCAGGCTAAATTATTGAGTTTATTTAAGACAGCGATAGATAGGCTCTCGATCTGTAAAGGGATCAAGGGGTAAGGGAAGAAGGGAGGAGAATGGGATTGAGAAACAAATCAGCCATGGTTAAATGGCAGAACAGACTTGTTGGGCCGAATGGCCTAATCCTGCTGCTATATTTTACTCTCGTACTGTCTTAAGATCGAATACGCTTTAAAAATATTTAGTCTGTTTCCATAAACTTTAAGCTTCTGAGAGAGAAACAAAATGGTTTCATCTCTGTTTAAGTGAGCGACCCCTAATTTTTGAACCGTAATTTTAAAACATTCCATAAGAAGATAGCCCTCTCGGGCCTACTGACCTGTTTCTGTGCTGTAAACTGTTTGTAAATAATTATAAGTGGTTAAACTCACTACATCAGCCAGGAGGTTTTGCATAGTATGGTTGAAAGGGAATGATCATGTTTTGTCCCCAATAGCACTACAAGCAACTTCAGTTGGAGTTTGTGGAGGATGATCATGACCGCAATGTATCAGTAACTACACAGTCTGTTCAAATATTCACTGTCCCAACACTGGTAAGTGGAATAAGTAAAATGCGTGACAAATTTACATAGGAATGAAGTGTGCCATGATATTTGTCCTTGTAGAGCATCAGGTCCAACGTAAAAGGGTTGAGTAGATGGGAACCTGTGTAACCTGATAAGCGATTGTATGTGGAAAATCAGAGGATAGAAACAGTATGGGTGGAGATAAGAAATAATGAGGAGTCTCAAACACTTGTGGGAATTGGTTTTAGGCTTATTATGTGGATTTCTGTACTTTTTGAAGAACACGTTAATGAAGAAATAAAGAAGTGTAACAAAGTCAATGCAGTGATTGAGAGGGAGCTCAATCTTCATAAAACTACATAAACCTAATTGATGAAAAGTACTTGTAGTATTATGTTACTTTCAAATAGTACATGGAAAAAGGTGGATTGATTTAAGAACAGTAGAAATGGATTGGCTGTGCTAAAAAAATTGCCCAGTGTCCAGGTACGTGCAGCCGTGGTAAATGCCGGGTTACAGGTGTAGGGTAGGGGTCTGGGTCTGGGTGGGATACTCTTTGGAGAGTCAGTGTGGACTTGATGGGCCAAATGGCCTGCTTCCCCACTGTAGGGATTCTTTGGGGTTCTATCTCCTTAGGGTGCTGTGGGTGGTTAATTGTTGAGTATAATCAAGACTGAGTAGGTTAGCTTTTGAGACTGTAAGGAAATTGGGACAGCACGGTGGCTCAGTGGTTAGCTGTGCTGCCTCAGCACCAGGGTTCGATTCCACCCTTGGGTGACTGTGTGGAGTTTGCACATTCTCCCCCTGTCTGCATAGGTTTCCTTCGGGTGCTCTGGTTTCGTCCCACAATCCAAAGATGTGCAGGTTAGGTGTATTGGCATTGCTAAATTGCCCATAGTGTTCCGGGATTTGTAGATCAGGTGGGTTAGCCATGGGAAATGCAGCTTTAGAGGGATAGGATGGGTATGGGCGGGTGTGATGTTCTTTGGTGGGTCACTGTGGACTTGATGGGCTGAATAGCTTCCACATTGTAGGGATTTGATGATCCTAAATAGAGAAGTATGGTAACTGGGTGGGTAAGTGTGCAACCATGGTGCTATTAGATGGTCACACTTGTGGGGCATTCAGACCTGCTACTGCTCTTATTTTATATATTTTTAAATCCTTTGTGGTTCTCCTGAGCTATATACAAATCAACCATGATAAAAAATTATAGTGACATAAAGGTTTTGGTTTCATTTATATTTCTCGTTTTTACTTCTTGAATGAAGGTCACTAGAAAATTTTTAACTTTTTGCTAGGCTCGTCATCTAATTGAAGAACATGATGCTCTAAAAATCATTGTCGAAACAATAATCGAGCTGTTTTCTGAGCATATGGATAACGGAAAGCTTCATTTTCAGAGTTACTCCCCGGATAAATTATTCAGGAAACAAATGGTCTTATATGATCTTAAGTAAGTATCGTCATCAGGTCCCAGATTGGCCACTTTGCATTAATGATGGATTGGGTGTCAATATAAGACTTCTCAAATCATTATTTATTTCTTGATCTGTTGAAGTCCTGATTATTTTTACAAGGTTTCCAGGTAATAAGATAATACTTAGGACCAGTGTATGTACGTAACCAAAGTGGCAGCAAATCTGTTCTGAGCTTTGAAGTGTACAAGTGTTCTTTCTTAATTTTTTGCTACATAGGATTCTCAACTCTGTTCTCTCCAACTGTGCAATTATAGTCTTTTTACACCCAAGTACTGTACTGTAATTTTTTGTCAGTGGTCAATCAGTACAATGTTCTGGAAGTGCAGTGGTAGTTGTGCTCGACTCTCTGGCTATTTCAAATCATGTAGCTCTTCTCAGAGGTTCCGATGCAGTGAAGCAGTTGCTAAGTTGTTCCTCTCCATCTAGCTGAGTTTTTTGTTTTGCTTGTGCTTTACAAAGTATTTGGATTTAATGAAGTTTTAAAAAAATACTTAAATAGAACATGAAATATCTGTTAAAGCAAATCAATTCGAAGCTGTCTAGAGCAAAGGCAAAAAATTGCAGATGCTGGAAATCTAAAATAGAAAATGAAAATGTTTGAAACACTGCAGGCCACTCAGCATCTGTGGAGCAATATGTAGAGTTGTAATAACCGAAGTAGGAACACGAAAAGGTCATTTGATCCTTTTAACATCGTCTTCTGTTCAATAAGATAATGATTGATCTTCTATGTAAGCTCCATCTGCTTAAAGTGTATCTATAGCATATGATTTCTCCCGTATCCAAAAATATGTACACTCCCTCTGTCTTGATGGTTGGCTCATTTGGTTTGGATGGCTGGTTTGCAATGCAAAGTGATGCCAACAATGTGGTTTCCACACTAGCTGAGGTTAACATGAAAGATCCTACTCAGCCTCTATACTGCCCCGAGGTATGGTGACATTCGGGTTAAACCTTGATCTAACGAAAGAAAAGCCCTATGGTCCAGTAGTTCTTTAGTGACTTTAACTTTTTCTCATAGTCTTAAAAAGCTCTAATAGATTTGTCAAATGTGATTTCCTTCTGGAGACTGAGTATCAAATTATTATTTTTTAAGTGCCCTGTTACCAAATCCAGTACTGTACTTCAGTTCAATCCCAGAAGGTTCTTACGTCAAGTCATTAATTTGAAGTATGCAAATATTGGATATTTATTAATATAAATATTCAGGTGATTTGTATTTCCAGAAAATTGGTGGATTAATTGTTAGGTAACTGTCTTAACCTGTTTCAAACTTGACTCCAGCCTGCCTTGAACTCTCCCACTTCTGGTTTTATCAGAGGTGGGGCAATCTTGTTGTTGGAGGCGGTATAGTATTATTTTACCAAGACCCTATCTGACCACCTAGATGATTAAGGACTTATTTGATGATTAAAAACAACCTTTTGAAGAGGTTGCTGACCTAGAGTCCTCACTGATATTATGCAAAAACTAACATACAAAATGCATTATTCATTATTTACGATGTAACATCTGTGAAAATGACTGTTTTCACTAATGTTGCAAATATTTCAAAGTTGCTTTGAGATATGGATAAACTGCTAAATACAAGCAAGTGCATCCTTCCACCAGTCTTGAGCTGTGAGGAAATGGCTTAATTTTAGCCACTTCTAAAGTGCGTTAGGGTATTACCTCTGAAACTACAAACTCCTTGAATGGAATTGCACATTGTAATGATATACAGATGCTAGGAGCAGTGAGATGTGGTTTCTCAGGCAGGTGGACTTTTGAGTAATAATTTAATAAACAGGGGCTTTGCAGTTTTAAAATATAAATGAAAACGTGATGTAAAGTCAGGAAATTATTTTCAGATAGGGCAAAAAGACAGGAGGGCAAGCAACCAGCATTATAAATGCAGAACAGATGTCGGGAACTCTTATCTTTACTAATTTCATCAAATTTATTGTTTTTTTTTGTAATAAGTACAAATGGATGCTCAATAAAGGTAGTGATGTTCAGTTAATCTACTTTGGCACACCAGCTGGCGGTGACTGGCACATGTCTCTCATTCTGTTCTATTTATTTTTGTTTTCCTTCTGTCTTTCTTCATCTTACTCTGCACCAAATTGCTACGTCATTCCTCTTTTCTCAATGTAAGATACATTGCTTATTAATCTCTTCTAATCACTAACTCTTGCAAATAGTCAGAGGCACACTGAACTCTACTTGGCTTTTCAATGCATAGCCAGTACATGATCAGTCTCTCATTACGTGGGTGGTGTGTGCCTGATCCCCAATCAGTTTCTTTTAAAATTAGTCATTCGCTTATTGATTATTATGTTATCCCACCATGCCATTTTCAAAGTGCTCCCCAGTGTCCTGGCCAATTTTGTCAATCATTGAATGTCATAAACAGGTTATCTGTTAAAGCAGTGTTGTTTGTGGTAGATTGATCTATGCAAACTGTCTGTCACATTTTCTAAATTAAAGTGGTAGCGACATCAGAAAATACTTAATTGGTTGGAAAGAATTTTGTAATGTACTGAGAGTTATGAGAGGTGCTACAGAAAAAGCCATGATCTTTATTTCCTCCCTTTTCTTTTCACCCTTTATTTTTATTTATGCACACATACCAGGCACATAGGCAGTATCCCTTTTATTGTTCAGTTGGAATTAGCTAGCTCCCAGTTATAATATTTGGAAGCAGACCATCATTTGCCCTCAGTTGTAAACAGGGGATTGGTTAAAGACAGAAAAAATTTTTGAGTGGTTAGTTATGAAATTGCCTTCAGAATTTTCAAAACTGTTGATAGGCTTAAAAACTAAAAACCTGTTCCCACTTGTGATGAGTCAACAACTAAGGATCGTAACCATCAGTCACATAAATCCTATGAAGGATTCAGGCGAGACTCTTTTGAAGCTGGGCTCTTGGTGGTTTTTGTGGTAATTCATACTATATTGTGTGTTTGCTAACCACATCACCAAAGCAATTAGCTGTTTTTCCTTTGTGCTTGTTAAGTTAAGATTGTCATTTCTGAGGAGTGAAATATATTTTCATTTTGGATTTGCACATTATTACCTTGGTGTTTCAGAACAGATGTGAACAAGAGAATTAGAAAGCGGTAAAGTCCAACCATGTTTACAAACGATTATACAGCATTGTTTTGTGCAGGGTAAATTGTGCCTAACTAACTAGTTCGAGTTTTTTGACGCGGTGACAAAGATGATTGAGGGAAAAGGGTTATTATTATCTACATGGACTTCAATAAAGCCTTTGACGAGGTCTCTCATGGCAGACTGGAACAAAAGTTGAAGTCACATGGTATCGGAGTGACCTGTCAAGATGGATATAGAACTGACTTAGTCATAGGCGACAGAGGGTAGTAGTAGAAGGATGCTTTACAGAATGAGGGATTGACTAGTGGTGTTCCACTGGAATCAGTGCTGGGACCTCTGCTGTTTGTGGCCTACGTAAATGATACGGAGGAAAACATGGCTTGCCTAATTAGTAAGTTTGCGGAGGATACAAAGATTGGAATAGGGGATTGTGAGGACGATTGTCAGAGAATACAGCGGGATATAGATCAGTTGGAAGCATTGGCAGAAAAATGGCAGATAGGGTTTAATCCAGACAAATGAGAGGTGATGCATTTTGAAAGGTCAAGTACAGGTGGAAATTATACAGTGAATGGCAGTATCACAAGCAGGCAGAAAGGCCTATTTATATACTATACATTTTTAAATAATGCTTTCTTTACAAAAAAAGTACCTTATGCTCACAAGGAGAAACTTGTGTCACTTTGTTTTCCCTTCTTTGAAGGTATGTTTTGATCGGCAAGCCACCTCTGTGGACAGACAGGCAAAGAGAGCATTTCCTTGAAGGTTTTAAAACATTTTTGAGGCTATTAAAAACCATGCAGGTAAGTAACAGTAAACTTTGAATATACCATACTCATGTTGCAGATCTTAAGTTATTAATGGCTTTGAGATAAACAATTCTTTTTGATGTAAACAGTTCCCAATAAATAATTTGCTGAGCTTAGGGGGAATATATATTAATCTTTCTCGCTCCTTTCTGTGCCAATCATCTGTCAAAAGCTGTAAGAAATTGAACAGCTAGATAATGCAGTCAGATATTTTGGGACAAGTTGGTGGTGTTTAAATTTTTCATCACCGAATCCAGATCTCTCTCTGACCTAATCTGGCCTTATCCATCTCGCTGCTTCCAGGCCTTCTAGGTCTTTAAGTTGACTGTGATCTTCCAAAACCAGACATCTGGTTTTAATTGCTTCACTATTGGAGGCTATGCATTCAGCTGCCTTGGCTCTCGTCTCTAGAACTTTCTCTCTACCTCTTTCTCTTCCTTTTAAGATGCTCCTTTAAACCTATGTTAACTGTCCTAATATTATGTAGCACCAAAGCTTATTTAGTATTGTAAAGTGTCTTATTAAATATGATAAATATTTGAGATATACAATGTGAGTTATTGTTTTTGCATGGTTGCACAGTAAGATATGGGGTGTTTGTAGAAGTATGCGTTATGGCTACAATATTGAACCCTTCAGCATCATTAAAAAAAAACTCAGAACCAGTCTAGATTCATAAACAGGTGCAGGTTAACTTGCCACAATCTTTTCAGAGCAGAAGATATTTATTCAACTGCAATTAACGAAAGAGAGCAATGTTGTTTTGTTTGGAGCACTATTTTAATTTCTTAAATAGTGGGTACTGACAATGAACTAGGTTAAATTTTTTTTCTTCTGAATGCTCTAATTTTTTATTCATTCCTCAGAAACACTATGTTGTTTAAGGTTCTAAATGCAAATACACATTCCTTTCCATACCACTGATGCAAAATAGGTGATAATGTCCTCCCTGAAGCTCATTAAGACTTCAACATCTTAGCAGTAAATCTTTAAATTTTTATGACAACAAACATGATTCAGGGTTAGGAATGGATAGATTATAATTTTTATTTGTCAGTAAAATACTGGAATTTCTTATACTTATTGATTTACTTCATTTAGATATTTAGTGAGTTGTTGAAGAGATCTGACATTATTTTGATGAATCGTTAATAGTTAATTTTATGCATTGCTTGTAGAATATGGAGCCAATGAGTCGACAGATTGGGCAGCACCTTGAGATAGAATCTGAATGGGACCGGGCATTCACTATCCAGATGCCCCTGAAATGTATTCTGACCATGATTCAGGAATGGTGTGCATCTGATGTAAGTATTGAGAATTTGTTTATATTTTCATAGATTTGCTCTGCAGTTTAGCATGTAGTTCTCCCATGTTACCATCGCTGAAAGAAAACTATGGTTACCCTGTCGTTGTTGTATGATTCTTGAATAGGCTCCTAACTAAAGAACTTGTCTTGCTATTTAAATTAGTCTGGTAAACTGTGCAGTTCAAGGACAGATAGCATAGGGCCACCTTTACAAGTATGGTGATACTCTGGTGTGCCTGTGATGTTCTGTGTACTGTCACTGTATAAAATTAATGTTTGTGCCATCACATAGTTGTAGAGCTTTCTGTTGTGACATTTTGGTGGTCGACATCTGCATGCAATCAGCTGCAACCTAAATCTGGGAGCTTCACACAGAAGTGATTGATGTTGAGTTTATGCTGCAGGCATTTAGAAAGGGCTAATTATGTTAAACTTAACACTTCTTTTAAAAAAGAGGAGAAGCAGTCGGTCAATTGGTCCTTCAAGCCTGCTCCTCCATAAGTATGATCATGGCTGATCATCCTACACAATTTCCTTTTCCTGCTTTAGCCCCAAAACCACTGATCCTTCTAACTGTAACAACTACATCTATCTCCTTGAAAACGTTCAGTATTTTGGCCTCAACTACTTACTGTGGCAGAGAATTTCACAGGTTCACCATTTTCTGGCTGAATAAATTTGTCCTCATCTCAGTCCTCAGTGGCCTACCCCAATCTTTAGATTATGGACCCTGGTTTTGGACACCTCAGTCATCGGAAACATCTTTCCCATGTTTACCACATCTAGCCATCTTAGAATTGTATAGGTTTCTATAAAAATCCCTCCTCGGTCTTCCAAACCCCAGTGAACGTAGTCCTAACCATCTAGTCTGTCATTACACATCAATCCTACCATTCCAAGAATCAGTCTGGTAAAACTTTTTTGCACTCCCTCTGTAGCCAAAACAGCCTTCCTCAGATAAGGAAACTAAGACTACACACACTATTCTAGGTGTGGTCTCACCAACACCCTGTACAATTGCAGCAACATTTTTGTTCCCGTACTTAAATTGTCTCACTACGAACCGTCTCACTATAGACCGGTGAGCCTGATGTCAGTGGTGGGGAAGCTGCTGGAGAAGATACTGAGGGATAGGATCTATTTAAATTTGGAAGAAAATGGGCTTATTAGTGATGGGCAGCATGGCTTTGTGCAGGGAAGGTCATGTCTTACCAACTTTGAGGAAGTGACGAAGTTGATAGATGAGGGAAGGGCTGTAGATGTCATATACATGGACTTCAGTAAGGCGTTTGATAAGGTTCCCCATGGTAGGCTGATGGAGAAAGTGAAGTCGCATGGGGTCCAGGGTGTACTAGCTAGATGGGTAGAGAACTGGCTGGGCAACAGGAGACAGTTGTAATAGAAGGGAGTTTCTCAAAATGGAGAACTGTGACCAGTGGTGTTCCACAGGGATCTGTGTTGGGACCACTGTTGTTTGTGATGTACATAAATGATCTGGAGGAAGGTATAGATGGTCTGATTAGCAAGTTTGCAGATTGGTGGAGTAGCAGATAGTGAAGGGGACTGTCGGAGAATGCAGCAGAATATAGATAGATTGGAGAGTAGGGCGGAGAAATGGCAGGTGGAGTTCAATCCAGGCAATTGTGAGGTGATGCATTTTGGAAGATCCAATTCAAGAGCGAACTATACGGTAAGTGGAAAAGCCCTGGGTAAAGTTGATGCACAGAGAGATCTGGGTGTTCAGGTCTGTTGTACCCTGAAGGTGGCAACGCAGGTCGATCAAGTGGTCAAGAAGGCATACAGCATGCTTTCATTCATCGGACGGGGTATTGAGTACAAGAGTTGGCAGGTCATGTTACAGTTGTATAGGACTTTGGTTCGACCACATTTGGAATACTGTGTACAGTTCTGGTCGCTACATTAACAAAAGGATGTGGATGCTTTGGAGAGGGTGCAGAGGAGGTTCACCAGGATGTTGCCTGGTATGGAGGGCACTAGCTATGAAGAGAGGTTGAGTAGATTAGGATTATTTACATTAGAAAGACGGAGGTTGAGGGGGGACCTGATTGAGGTCTACAAAATCGTGAGAGGTATAGACAGGGTGGATAGCAAGAAGCTTTTTCCCAGAGTGGGGGACTCAATTACTAGGGGTCACGATTTCAAGGTGAGGGGGGAAAAGTTTAAGGGAGGTGTGCGTGGAAAGTTCTTTACG